AAGGCGCTTCAACAAAGTACTTAGTAAAGGGTCTGAATACTTATGTAAATTTGATATTTCCGTTTTTTATTTGTAATACAATTTTACAAATTAAAACCTAGTTTTGCTTTGTCATTATGGGGTGTTGTGTGTAGATTGATGAGGGAAAAAAACAATTGAATACATTTTAGAATAAGGCTGTAATGTAACAAAATGTGGAAAAAGGTCAAGTGGTCTGAATACTTTCCCGAATGCACTGTATATACAGACATTCAAACACACACACTTACCGATGGCGATGGATGGTCGGATGGTCGGATGGTCGGTAGAGTCTCAGGGTCTTCATACAGGTTCATGTCATGTTCTATAGGGAGCAAGGAGCATCCAGGATGGGACTGGTTCACCAACCTCGTCACACTAATCCAATCCAAGGAGCATCCAGGATGGGACTGGTTCACCAACCTCGTCACACTAATCCAATCCAAGGAGCATCCAGGATGGGACTGGTTCACCAACCTCGTCACACTAATCCAATCCAAGGAGCATCCAGGATGGGACTGGTTCACCAACCTCGTCACACTAATCCAATCCAAGGAGCATCCAGGATGGGACTGGTTCACCAACCTCGTCACACTAATCCAATCCAAGGAGCATCCAGGATGGGACTGGTTCACCAACCTCGTCACACTAATCCAATCCAAGGAGCATCCAGGATGGGACTGGTTCACCAACCTCGTCACACTAATCCAATCCAAGGAGCATCCAGGATGGGACTGGTTCACCAACCTCGTCACACTAATCCAATCCAAGGAGCATCCAGGATGGGACTGGTTCACCAACCTCGTCACACTAATCCAATCCAAGGAGCATCCAGGATGGGACTGGTTCACCAACCTCGTCACACTAATCCAATCCAAGGAGCATCCAGGATGGGACTGGTTCACCAACCTCGTCACACTAATCCAATCCAAGGAGCATCCAGGATGGGACTGGTTCACCAACCTCGTCACACTAATCCAATCCAAGGAGATAACTATTTATTTGACTTTCTTCACAGAAATCTCTTTTTCATTTGTTTCTTATTATCTTTCTTTGCCTTTTTTCATTTGTATCTGAACCAGTGTAGCTCTGAACGTCTCTACTCTGCTCCCTGAACCAGTGTAGCTCTGAACATCTCTCTACTCTGCTCCCTGAACCAGTGTAGCTCTGAACGTCTCTCTACTCTGCTCCCTGAACCAGTGTAGCTCTGAACGTCTCTCTACTCTGCTCCCTGAACCAGCGTAGCTCTGAACGTCTCTCTACTCTGCTCCCTGAACCAGTGTAGCTCTGAACGTCTCTCTACTCTGCTCCCTGAACCAGTGTAGCTCTGAACGTCTCTACTCTGCTCCCTGAACCAGTGTAGCTCTGAACGTCTCTCTACTCTGCTCCCTGAACCAGCGTAGCTCTGAACGTCTCTACTCTGCTCCCTGAACCAGCGTAGCTCTGAACGTCTCTACTCTGCTCCCTGAACCAGCGTAGCTCTGAACGTCTCTTCGCTCAGCTCCTTTTTGGAGACATGGAATACACCACAGCCCCTTCGTTGTATTCACTCAACAGCCACGTGACCACACACCAGTGACTCTGAGGATGTGTCCCAAAATGGCACCCTATTCCTTACATAGTGGGAGTATTTCCTATGGGCCCTGGTCAACAGTAGTGCACCATAAATAGGGAGCCATTTGGGACACCCTCCCTCCCAGATGTCACCATAAAGGAGGGCAAATGAAACGAAAACAGAAAAGTGTAATGATTTCTATAAACACTAGATGACTGATAGGGTGCTGTTTTGAAGCCACCACGCCTCCATCTTGGCACCACTGTAAAAAATAACAGAATGCAACAATGACAAGAAACTGTAAGTGGCTCATTTCAGCTCATTTCATCTTGTTCTTGATACCATGTCTTGTTTTGAGATGTTTTTGACTGATTTCACGTCAATGCTAATATGGCAAAAAATTCACTAGATGGCTAACCAACAACTGTCACAATGTATTTGAGATACAAGTGCTCATTGTGAAAATGTATGTTTTTATATAAACATTGGAGACTAAATATAGTTCACATGTTGTCAACAATCTAAGCCAGCCCCCCGTCTGTTTCGCCCCCATACAGTGCCTTGCAAAAGTATTCATCCCCCTTGGCGTTTTTCCTATTTTGTTGCATTACAACCTGTAATTTAAATGGATTTTTATTTGGATTTCATGTAATGGACATACACAAAATAGTCCAAATTGGTGAAGTGAAATTTAAAAAATAACTTGTTAAGAAAAATTCTAAAATATAAATAACAGAAAAGTGGTGCGTGCATATGTATTCACCCCCTTTGCTATGAAGCCCCTGAATAAGATCTGGTGCAACCAATTACTTTCAGAAGTCACATAATTAGTTAAATAAAGTCCACCTGTGTGCAATCTAAGTGTCACATGATCTGTCACATGATCTCAGTATATATACACCTGTTCTGAAAGGCCCCAGAGTCTGCAACACCACCAAGCGGCACCATGAAGACCAAGGAGCTCTCCAAACAGGTCAGGGACAAAGTTGTGGAGAAGTACATATCAGGGTTGGGTTATAAAAAAATATCAGAAACTTTGAATATTCCACGGAGCACCATTAAATCCATTATTTAAAAATTGAAAGAATATGGCACCACAACAAACCTGCCAAGAGAGGGCCGCCCACCAAAACTCACGGACCAGGCAAGGAGGGCATTAATCAGAGAGGCAACAAAAAGACCAAAGATAACCCTGAAGGAGCTGCAAAGCTCCACAGCGGAGATTGGAGTATCTGTCCATAGGACCACTTTAAGCCGTACACTCCACAGAGCTGGGCTTTACGGAAGAGTGGCCAGAAAAAAAGCCATTGCTTAAAGAAAAAAATAAGCAAGCACGTTTGGTGTTCGCCAAAAGGCATGTGGGAGACTCCTCAAACACTCTGGGAGGAGGACACAACGGAGTTCTCAACCGTGATGGCGAGATCATGGAACGGGCAGTCCTTCCCCGGGAGGAAGAGCAGCTCCGTCTTGCCGAGGTTCAGCTTGAGGTGGTGATCCGTCATCCACATAGAGCCCTATGGTCCCTGGTCAAAAGTAGTCCACTATGTAGGGAATAGGTTATAATTTGGGATGCAGCCCCAGAGGTTCTCTTGATGGAGACCTTTCATTCACAGATCTACAAATTAAGTTATTTCTCAACCTGCTTTAGTGTTGTCTTAAGCCCCGTTTATACTTGGTGCTAACTTGGGTCCTTTGTCCTGACCTTGTCTACATTCTGATTGTGTCCACACTTCCAGAAATATGTCTACACATGGTACTAAAATGTATCTGTTGTCCGTCCACTGAGTCTGCACTGTGACCAGATTTCCTGGTCCCTTCCTCTATGCAAATTATTTCACAGCTATTATTTCAGAATAATATTTATTTATTGTAAGACGCATATTGACGTAGTCAAGTCAATGGTGCCACCTGTCGATGACTCGAGGGTGGAATAATTATGACTGAAATGGTTTCTGTGTCCAGATCTTTCTACACTTCCAGACACAATGCTGATCACAATGTCTCTTTTGATAGTCTACATCTGTCTAAAAATGTAGGCACAATCAGAATGTGGACAAGATCAGGACAAAATACGCATGTTAGAACCAGGTATAAACGGGGCTAAAAACTCAAGACACAACAGAGATGTTTAATTGGAACGTTTTAAGGAACGTGACAAAAGTGCATCGCTAGCCTGGGTACCATCATGCCCCTCCTTGTCATGCCAAGGGAGTTGACATGATGGCACAAACCAATCTGGCTAGACGTGCATCGCTTCGTACGGCCAATGTTTGCAGTGCCAGTGAGTGAACCCCACCACTCAAATAAACATAGAGCGTATGGGATAATGAATCATGATTGGTGGGATTTATATATTACTGATCTCCTGCACCTCCTCCAATTAAAATGACATTGTATGTTCATAACAGAATGGTCTGAATTGCTGTCTGTATAAAATAATGAGAATGAGAGCTACATAGTAAAGTATATCCCTTATAGGGATACATATTGTCTAACTATATCCCCTCTTGTTTTTCTCTGTCAGAATAGTTTTACATGTTTAGTCATTTAGCAGACGCTCTTATCCAGTGCGACTTACATTATCTTTTATTTTATTTTATTTTTCATACTGGTCCCCCGTGGGAATTTACGTGGCTAGAGAATCAAAACATGAAGATGCAACAATTGTAAAAGAATCAAAGCAACTTCATTGTGCAGCAAATACTGTTTGTTTAAATATGAAACCATTTTATAAAACCATTTCAAACGTTTAGACAATGATTATGAGGCCTTTATTTACATTTAAGTCATTTAGCAGACGCTCTTATCCAGAGCGACTTACAAAATTGGTGCATTCAACTTATGATAGCCAGTGGGACAACCACCTATAAAACGTTTAAAATAGATACATATGGTATACAGTACTGTAGGTCAAAAGTGAATATTCATGTTTTGTAACCACCTTCATGGATAGATTCAGCTCATTGCTTTTGCTAAGAGTATAGAACAGGTCAAAAGGTCAAATCATAGCAACATGTAGAACAGGTCAAATCATAGCAACATATAGAACAGGTCAAATCATAGCAACATGTAGAACAGGTCAAATCATAGCAACATGTAGAACAGGTCAAATCATAGCAACATGTAGAACAGGTCAAATCATAGCAACATGTAGAACAGGTCAAATCATAGCAACATGTAGAACAGGTCAAATCATAGCAACATATAGAACAGGTCAAATCATAGCAACATGTAGAACAGGTCAAATCATAGCAACATGTAGAACAGGTCAAATCATAGCAACATGTAGAACAGGTCAAATCATAGCAACATATAGAACAGGTCAAATCATAGCAACGTGTAGAACAGGTCAAATCATAGCAACATGTAGAACAGGTCAAATCATAGCAACATGTAGAACAGGTCAAATCATAGCAACATGTAGAACAGGTCAAATCATAGCAACATGTAGAACAGGTCAAATCATAGCAACGTGTAGAACAGGTCAAATCATAGCAACATGTAGTAGTAGTTTGTTTACTTCCGTTTAAGTGCTCTTCACTTTTCTTTTTGTCTCTTTTAATCAAAACTCGGTTTTAATTGAATGTTGCTTTTTTAGTTTACAGCACATTTGGACCCTGTCAAAATAGGAGTTCCTGAGGCTTTATGAGCAGCATAGAACAGAGTGCTTCAGTATTCTGTCATTCTCACTCCCTCTGTTCCTCCACCTCATCTTTGGTAAGGTATTTAATGTGAGCCCATATGCACCATATCTGGAGAGACGGAGAGAAAGGGGGGTAAAAAAAGTGTCAACGTGTGTGTGCGAGTATGTGTGTTTACATCAGTGTAGTCCCATCAGTCAGTTGTCTTACCTCCACTGAGACACCCAGGAGCCTCCCTCCTGCCAGGATCAGAGTCCCCAGTGTCTGCAGCCAGAGGGGGGCACAGAGGGGGTGGGTGAGGACCCCCCGCTGGTACCCATACAGCCACAGGGGTAGGCCGTGTAAACCACCAATCACCCACGTCCCCAGGGGCGTCCGAAACCCTAGCAACATGAGAGAGAATGTTCCAGGATCTTTCCATTCACTTCAGTCTGAAATCCAGGGTCTGTATTCAAAAGTGTCTCGGTGTCTAGGATCAGGCTCATCTTATTCCATTTTCTAAGTTCAAATATATCGTTCATTGAGATGAACCAAAACATGACAGGTAGCTACAGCAGAGAACACCTTATTAGAATGTCTTATTTTGGCAGACAACTTCTGTGAAACGTTTATGAAAAACATGTCATAGACTAAAGGCTGGCTTCAGACATCCAGTGTAGTGGATTAGCCCTTTACCTTTGGCCATGATGGTCTGTACCCACAGAGGGCTGTCTGTAAAGCTGCTCTTCCACTGGGCACCACGGGCAGTGTGGTTACACACAAACACACACCACTCCACTGAAGACACCAGCCAGCCCCACTAGAACAGAACAGAACATTATATGGACGCTGGCATACCAGGGCCTACACAAGGAAGACTGGCAGGACATAATACACTCTTGATGTCTCATGTTACATTACATTACATTTTAGTCATTTAGCAGACGCTCTTATCCAGAGCGACTTACAGTTAGTGCATACATTTTTATACTGGCCCCCCCCCCCCCGTGGGAATCGAACCCACAACCCTGGCGTTGCAAACACCATGCTCTACCAACTGAGCCACATCCCTGCCGGCCATTCCCTCCCCTACCCTGGACAACGCTGGGCCAATTGTGCGCCGTCCCCATGGGGTCTCCCGGTCGCGGCCGACTACGACAGAGCCTGTGTTGCACTGCAGTTACTTACTATACAGGTTATTTAGTGAACATTGCCATTACATGACGAAAAGTGCACAACTGAAAGCTGCCTCAAGGTTCAACAAGTTCAAAGTTTGCACAGAAAGAGAGACATGTTTTCGGTAGTGCTCAGTGTTTAAGAAACATATTTAGACATTGGAGTCATTTAGCAGACACTCTTATCCAGAGTGACTTAGTTAGTGAATTCATGTTAAGATCGCCAGGTGGTACAACAACACATCACAATCGTATCAAGTATATTTTTCCCTCAACAAAGAAGTTATCAGCAAAGTCAGTGCTGGTTGGAAAAGACTAGTGCCTTTTAGAACTGTATTATTGTCATTTTTTAATTGGGAGGGAGGGCGTCAGGGGCGCCATGAGAGTTATTTAAGATACTCTTCAAAGAGGTAGGGTTTCAGACATTTTGGGAAGATGGGCAGGGGCTCTACAACTAAAAAAAACACTTAAATATAGCACGTGGTGCAGACACAGATCCTCTCCTCGTCACCTGGTAGGAGCGGCCTGCCAGGTAGGATGTAATCCAAGTGTGTGCAGAGCCTGAGACGCCCAGCCCTGAGAGGGTGGAGAGGAGGATCTGATGGTTCACGGTGCACTCACCATTTGTGGGCTACAAATGCCCCCCTATTCTCTATGTAGTGCATTACTATCCATAAGGCTCTGGTCAAAAGTAGTGCACTTTATAGGGAATCGGGTGGCATTTGGGACTCAGCCTCTGTCTTGAAGGTACATAGCCTACCTACTTCATACAGCTGGTTCCACACCATGCTTCTCCCAAGGTTGTCTATCACCACGTCTAACCAGGCCCCAAACCTGGAGGTCTGCCCAAGCCTCCGAGCTAGCCATCCATCCAGCCCTGGACAACACAGGAACTACATATGTTAATGTGATAACAAAAAACACAGAAACTGTGGGCTACTGTTCAATAGCCATAAATATACACAGGTGCAACTGGACGTTATTGTAATGTGATTTAACTTGGAATTGAGGATTCGGTCATAAAGTGTAAACTGATAGGTCAATGGAATATGCACACAAACTTTGGACTACTGTTAAATAGGCATATCGCAATCAAGATCATTTTAGTATGATATTTCATGTTTAAACATGACTTTGAAGATGATTTAATTGTTTTATTATTTACCATCTAGAATGACAGAGATGGAGTAGGTGGAGAGAAACACGGGTGGATTGTTGAAGGCAGTCCAAGCAGAAAGTATAAAGACTAGGCGGATATAACCTGTAACCAGAATGAAGAATGAACATGAGAAAAATCAAGAATACTGTTAGAAATTAGTAAATTGTACAACTAATAATACATTATGTACATTATTTAATCAATGGAGCATCCATTACTTATGCTTCTTGCTTACTATACATTTATCTTGCCATAGGTCTCTGGTAAGAGACAAAAACTTTTTTTTCTCTCACCTATGATGTTGGGCCAATAAACAAAAACCTCTTGTCCCATATTCAGTCAGTTACTAATAGGACCATATCGTCCCTCTTCCCCTGTCACCAATGTCATCCGAATTGTTAGCCTCTGATTGTGGCTCCGGATCAGACAGCGCTCACCCGGTAACAAAGATGATGCAACCTTTCAGCGACCTCTAGCTACCAACAGCGAAGATATCTCGAAATGTATTACCGACTTTTATTTATGAAGTGGATATATGCGGCTATAGAATCCCGAATCGGTAGTATAGGGATGTACACATTATGGCAGTCACCGAAGGGTTTGCTGTATAATAAGAACCGGACCTGTCGAAAGGCTCTTCCTCTTCCCGTCACAGGAAACTCTGACTTAGCAACATAAATTGTCCCTGAACCATGCTGGTGACCAGGTATGCGGCTAGGTTGAAGTAGCCCTATCTTGCGGTAGCTACGGTAGTCCAGGTGCAACCCAAGACATTAAATTGGACTTTCGATTGAGGATCTGGTCATAAAACTATGAACTGATAGTCAAGCGGAAGACCACACACGAAGAATAAATGTACAGTGTTATAACTGTAGCATATTGCATCCTGTCGACTTCAACTGTATCCACAGGGGGGGAGCCAGAGACCAATCAAAGGATCAAAGCCAATGACGTATTTCCGAAGCGTCGATTTACCGAAGTGTTTGCAGACGGACGAAAAATGATGATGTATCCACCAATCCAAAGAAAGGATCGACCGGAGCCGTGTCGCTTTGTGGACTAACGACTCCCATTGTTAGGGCGGAGGGACATGTAACTTGTCAGTGTAGCCATAATCTTTGATGAAAGTCAATGAACTAAGAAGGAGCCCAGACCCAGCTGCTATTGGACTGCTGTCTATAGGAGACACGTCTAGTTAAGTAGACCGGAAATGACCCTTTTTGTAAACGGCGAGTGAACCATCTTTGGTGCGTTCAGAAGGATGGTAAACAAACAACAATGGCAGCCGTAGGCCTAGCTCTTTGCAGCCAGACGTTAGTTCTACATAGTTTTCAAGGTATATCAGACCCATATCCATCCATACAGAACACCTGTCGGCTCTGTGGACAAAATCTGCTCATCAAGGGGACATTACAGGCAACACGAAGAATATTTGACAATCCCAAAGCCTCAAAGGAAAAAAAGTTGTGTGACAGATTCCTTGCCACTGGTTTAGTGCTAACTGAAGCACCAGGGGTGAAGTCGGGCAGAATTTGTGCTAAGTGCTATCGACTATTTCTCAGGATAGAGGAATCTGTAAGCGTTTTAAAGAAATGGCAATCGGAGCATCATACACCGGGGACGAGCGAGAAGAGGAAGCGTGAACTGGAGCCGAGTCCATCTGAAACAGACAGGGGAGCCAAGAAGAAATGTCCTCCCTATAAAAAGGTTCCCCCGAGGAGCAGTCTTGTCGAGGTAGTTATACTAACCAACTAGCCCAACGTTGGACTAAAGGAGCCTAACGTTACTCCTTAGTCCAAGGACCTTACATATTCTGTTTAAAGGACGTATTGGCTCTGGAAGCCAAAACAGCCAAATACTCCATCTAATCGATTCTCAATTGCGGTACGGTTCTAGAAACATAAATCCATCTACTTTCATACACACTTAATGTACACTGTTTTAACCGGTTTTAACAGTTGCAGCCGACAGTATATTTCAGTGACAACACGTTGTTGCATCGGTCTTCCCTTTACATACAGGTGTTCGGAGGCGCAGGTAGTCGACTGTGTCTTCTGTCTGTTTTCAGTGAACAAGCTCTGTAACATGGAAATATGGCCGTGTGGGAATTGTGTGTTTAAAAAAAAAAAGTTATTTCTCGCCGATATGAAAGATAAGGTTATTTTAATGCTACCAAAACCGTACCGCAAGCCATGCGTGTTAATATTCAAGACGGAGCATAGTGGCTCTTAAAGCAACATCCAGAACATGCATCCCCTAGCTAGCTATCAAGCGCCCCCCCATATATATATATACACTTGTACTGTAGTATACGTACCTACTGTATTTTCAGAATAATACTATTTTAGTTTATTCATTTCACATTATTTTGCAGGTTGGTCATAACATACCCAAACCAACTGGATCCAAAGCTGAAAAAGAGGGTTGAGAAGGTTTCCTCAGAATTTTCTGGAATGGTTGAAAACTTGGCAAAAGGCAAATTGACGACATTTGTCAGGTTAGCCTTGACAAATGAAACCATATGTCAAGAAATCAGAAAGCAGATGACACAGAAAATAGAAGCAGAGGTCAAGGCATATGCAAGACCCTTAAATTACTTGACTTCTGCTGAACCTTGCATCTTGAGTAGTACCTCGTTGGAGAATCTGAAGGCTTTTTCATATGAAGCGTTGGATGATGAGTTGTCCAGGAAGACACCGTGGCTTTATACCACCATCAATACTGCAACAGGTGGTTCCACCATCCATAACTGTGTGGCTGCCTCTGTGGCCCTGAGAGGTAGAAACCCCAGGCTTTCTGCACTGGCCTATGTCATCAACTCAACACTGACCCAAGGGGGGGTTAAGCCCATTTTCAAAAGACTGTCTAAGATGGGTATAACAACCACACATAGCAATGTCCTCACTAAGCAGAAGGAGATGAGGGCAGCTGGGTACAACAACATCAAATGCTGGAGGGAGGACTGTGAGCTGTTTTTCCAACACAGTGCCAGCGGAGAAGTCTGCCCCCGACCCCCTCCTACTGCTAAACCAACAAAGGAGGCTGGAAGAGAGGAGGAAGAGGAGGACTGGGGGACCAGTGGAGGAAGAGTTTGAAATAGAGCTGGACTGGGGTCCACTGGAGGAAGAGGGTGAAGGAGAAGAGGAAGAGTGGAGTCCAGTGTCAGAAGAGACAGAAAGAGAGGAGGACAGAGGATCAACAGAGCAGGGAGAGACAGAAAGAGAGGAGGATGGAGGATCAACAGAGGAGGAAGAGAGAGGAGAGGAGGCAGAGTGGGGTTCCCTGCTAGGAGAGACAGAAAGAGAAGAAGAAGAAGGACGTACATCATCAGTGCTAGAAGGAAATGACAGACAGGAAGAGGACTCTGATTCAACAGTGGATTCAGAGACTGAATACTTTGGATTAAACCTTACCTGTGAGAGTGATTAGAGAAGTGTCCTAACACAGGGTCTGTAGATTACAGGGTATTAGGCTACATCTCTGAACAACAAGGGACTAATCATAGCATGCTTCCCAAATGGAACCCTGTTCCCTATATAGTGCACTACATTTGACCCGGGGCCATTTGGGACACAATCATACAGTGAAATGACTCCTACTAAGGGGGTCAAGGTGTGAGGTATACTGATCCTGGTGAGTGTACAGGATGTTTACAATGGTATTAAAGAGACCAGTCCCATTTAAAATGTTCAATTCAAACTTTATTGTCCCAGCAGGGAAATGTACAGCTAAGAGTACAAAGCCGCTCAACACGAACTTCCATTTTTGTTATTTTGCGCTTCCCAAAATGGCACCCTATTCCCTGTATAGCGCACTACTTACCCATTTTTACACATTTTAGTCATTTAGCAGACGCTCTTATCCAGAGCGACTTACGGTTAGTGAATACATATTTTTTTTATACTGGCCCCCCGTGGGAATCGAACCCACAACCCTGGCGTTGCAAACGCCATGCTCTATCAACTGAGCTACATCCCTGCCGGCCATTCCCTCCCCTACCCTGGACAACACTGGGCCAATTGTGTGCCGCCCATGAGTCTCCCGGGTCGCGGCCGGCTGCGACAGAGCCTTGATTCGAACCAGGATCTCTAGTGGCACAGTTAGCCTTAGACCACTGCGCCACTCAGGAGAACTACCCCATAGGGCTCTGGTCAAAAGTAGTGCACTATATAGGGAATAGGGTGTCATTTGGGATGCAGATCCTTGGGCCAAGATGACCCAGACAATAAACCACTTATAATTAAACAACCTTTTTATGACCCATGAATAAAAAGTATTTCCTGAAATATTACACAACTCATTGTTACTTCCTACAGTGTATTTACACAAATGGTAGTAGCGCCATGAGGAAAAAGTAAAATTGACAGAATTTCTAATACAAAAATAATGCAAATTTTTTTAAATGACCATGAGCTTGCCTGAGATAGTAGATTCATATTTTGTACAAATGTAAACTAGCATCAATCCTGATATGGGGCTCCCGGTCCAGCTGTGACACGGCTGTAGTGGAACCTCAGCCTTAGACTGCTGAGAAGATGACATTTTTATGGGTTCATCTGAGGAAGAAGAAGAGCTGGATGGAAGGCTGCTCACACTGAATCGTTCTCCATGATGTCCTCCAGGATTCTCAACATCTGTGAAGGACGGCCTGGAAGGGCAGGGTTCCACCCAGCAGTCTCGCGTTATCTGCAGTCAGAGGGAGAGAAAGGGGAGAGCTAGGCTGCATCCCAAAATTACACCCTATTCCCTATATAGTGCTCCCAGATGGCTCTGGTCATAAGTAGTGTACTAAATAATGAATAGGGCGCCATTTGTGACGAAGCAAAAATAATACGAAAAAAAAGAAGCCACATCCAGTATTCCATAGAGGGGTCTGTTCATGCCTGGGTTGTGTTCAGGAAGGAGACATATTAAAAAAAAACTGAAGTCCTACCTGAAATTGTCTAAACAAGGGTTAGGGTTAAACAAAGTGGTCCTACCTGAAATTGTCCAATAAGAACACAGGTTTTTGTTTTGCCACCTTGTGCCCTACTGAAAACGACCCTGTCGCTGCCGTTACAACAACACTATCAATGATGTCACGGTCACTCACATCTCTGGCCTGCAGCCTTCAGGGACAGGTCTGTGTTCTTGTGACCGGCGCAGGTGCAATAGACCACGGCCTCTGGCGTCTCCGGGTACGGTAAGGTACGGTAAGGTGCGGTAAGGTGCCTGGGAACCACAAACATGGTGTTATAATTACTTTTAATTTAGAATTTTGTCCTCAATTACTTATCTGGGTAAATAAAGTTTAGATGAATACAATCTTTCAGGCCTGTCGTTATCATTATGGACACTGGGCAGCCATCCATACAGGCTGTAAGTGATGGCAGATGTTTTGTTTCCATTGTTTATGAACACAAAACTCGCCAAACGTCTGCATCTCCCACAATAGTAATAGTTGGTTCTGAAGTACTCAGGGAGGTACCAGCGTAGGGGCACACGTTCCTACACACACAACCGAACGTTGGAAATGGTTACCCTTTAAAACTCACACTAAGACCATCAACACATTTAGGGCCGGTTTCCTGGGACAGATCAAGCCTAATCCTGTGCTAAAAAGCATTGCCAATGCCCCTGTGACTGGGCTACCCCCCCAAATTTGCTACAGTATAAAATCTGACCCGTAGGTGTTTCCTGTGGTTTCTGTCAGCGTGTGTGTGTGACTGAACGATGTGTGTATTACATTTTACATTTACGTCATTTAGCAGACGCTCTTATCCAGAGCGACTTACAGTTAGTGAGTGCATACATTTTCATACTGGCCCCCCGTGGGAAACGAACCCACAACACTGGCGTTGCAAGCGCCATGCTCTACCAACTGAGTTACACGGGACTATAGGACAGGTTGTGTATCTGTGACTGTGTGTGTGAGACTGACCCGTGTGTGTGTGAGACTGACCCGTGGAAAATCACATTGTAGGATTTTTAATCAATCAATCAATCAATCAATTTTATTTTATATAGCCCTTCTTACATCAGCTAATATCTCGAAGTGCTGTACAGAAACCCAGCCTAAAACCCCAAACAGCTAGTAATGCAGGTGTAGAAGCACGGTGGCTAGGAAAAACTCCCTAGAAAGGCAAAACCTAGGAAGAAACCTAGAGAGGAACCAGGCTATGAGGGGTGGCCAGTCCTCTTCTGGCTGTGCCGGGTGGAGATTATAACAGAACCATGCCAAGATGTTCAAAAATGTTCATAAGTGACAAGCATGGTCAAATAATAATCAGGAATAAATCTCAGTTGGCTTTTCATAGCCGATCATTAGAGTTTAAAACAGCAGGTCTGGGACAGGTAGGGGTTCCATAACCGCAGGCAGAACAGTTTAAACTGGAATAGCAGCAAGGCCAGGCGGACTGGGGATAGCAAGGAGTCACCACGGCCGGTAGTCCCGACGTATGGTCCTAGGGCTCAGGTCTCTCAGTTGGCTTTTCATAGCCGATCATTTAGAGTTGAAAACAGCAGGTCTGGGACAGGTAGGGGTTTCGTAGCCGCAGGCTCCGCCTTTGCGGGATGCACGGGGAATATGGTCACTAGTGTAACCAGGAGGTGAGGCCTCATTTAACACAGCAAATTCATCAGGCTTAAGCCATGTTTCAGTCAGGCCAATCACATCAAGATTATGATCAGTGATTAGTTCATTGACTATGACTGCCTTTGAAGTGAGGGATCTAACATTAAGTAACCCTATTTTGAGATGTGAGGTATCACGATCTCTTTCAATAATGGCAGGAATGGAGGAGGTCTTTATCCTAATAAGATTGCTAGGGTGGACACCACCATGTTTAGTTTTGCCCAACCTAGGTCGAGGCACAGACACAGTCTCAATGGGTATGGCTGAGCTGACTACACTGACTATACTATTGGCAGACTCCACTAAGCTGGCAGGTTGGCTAACAGCCTGCTGCCTGGCCTGCACCCTATTTCACTGTGGGGCTAAAGGAGTTAGAGCCCTATCTATGTTGGTAGATAAGAGGAGAGCACCCCTCCAGCTAGGATGGAGTCCGTCACTCCTCAGCAGGTCAGGCTTGATCCTGTTTGTGGGTGAGTCCCAGAAAGAGGGCCAATTATCCACAAATGTTATCTTTTGGGAGGGGCAGAAAACAGTTTTCAACCAGCGATTAAGTGCTGAGACTCTGCTGTAGAGCTCGTCACTTCCCCTAACTGGGAGGGGGCCAGAGACAATTACTCGATGCCGACACATCTTTCTAGCTGATTTACACGCTGAAGCTATGTTGCACTTGGTGACCTCTGACTGTTTCATCCTAACATCGTTGGTGCCGACGTGGATAACAATATCTCTATACTCTCTACACTCGCCAGTTTTAGCTTTAGCCAGCACCATCTTTAGATTAGCCTTAACGTCGGTAGCCCTGCCCCCTGGTAAACAGTGTATGATCGCTGGGTGATTCGTTTTAAGTCTAATACTGCGGGTAATGGAGTCGCCAATGACTAGGGTTTTCAATTTGTCAGAGCTAATGGTGGGAGCCTTCGGCGTCTCAGACCCCGTAACGGGAGGAGTAGAGACTAGAGAAGACTCAGACTCAGACTCCGACTCGCTACATAATGGGGAAAACCGGTTGAAGGTTTCTGTCGGCTGAATGAGCGACACCGGTTGAGCATTCCAACAGTATTTCCCTCCAGAAGCCATGAGAAAGTTGTCCGGCTGCGGGGACTGTGCGGGGGGATTTATACTAACGTTACTGTCTGTACTTACTGGTGGCACAGACGCTGTTTCTTCCTTTCCTACACTGATATTGCCCTTGCCTAACGATTGCGTCTGAAGCTGGGCTTGTAGCACAGCTATTCTCGCCGTAAGGCGAGAATTCTCCTGTATATTATGACTACAGCGACTGCAATTAAAAGACATCATGTTAATGTTACTACTTAGCTTCGGCTGTTGAAGATGTTGATTGAATTTATTAGCAAATTATTGTGGAAAATAAGTATTTGGTCAATAACAAAAGTTTCTCAATACTTTGTTATATACCCTTTGTTGGCAATGACACAGGTCAAACGTTTTCTGTAAGTCTTCACAAGGTTTTCACACACTGTTGCTGGTATTTTGGCCCATTCCTCCATGTAGATCTCCTCTAGAGCAGTGATGTTTTGGGGCTGTCGCTTGGCAACACGGACTTTCAACTCCCTCCAAAGATTTTCTATGGGGTTGAGATCTGGAGACTGGCTAGGCCACTCCAGGACCTTGAAATGCTTCTTACGAAGCCACTCCTTCGTTGCCCGGGCGGTGTGTTTGGGATCATTGTCATGCTGAAAGACCCAGCCACGTTTCATCTTCAATGCCCTTGCTGATGGAAGGAGGTTTTCACTCAAAATCTCACAATACATGGCCCTATTCATTCTTTCCTTTACACGGATCAGTCGTCCTG